GAGATAGTCCAATCCAACTTCTCTTGTGTGTGTGTCTGTTTGAGAGAGGGGGGAGGGAGGAAGGAGGGGGGAGGGAGAAGAAAAAGAATGAAGGAAACTTTTTCGCAAAGGAGAAAAACAAATGCTGTTGCTTTATATCGGAACTGAGCATGCCTGGCTGTGGAGTTGAAGTCCACAAGTCTAAAAAAATTTGAAACCCACCACCGTGTCAGTGCCTCACCAACCATAAACCTCACTGCACGTCACTGCTGCTAAGGGCCCTTATCACTCAAATTTGCAGACAGCATCAAGTTGAGGGAATTGCTAACACTTTGGAAGATAGACTCAAGATTCAAAAGTATCCTGACAGACTTGAGCACTAGGCCCTATCCAACAAGGTGTAGTTCAGTGGTGAGAAAAGTTTAACTCTTGCACTTATGCAAGAAAAACCAAACACACAGGTATAAGACTAGGCAGCCCCTGGCTGAACAGTAGTGACTGTGAGAGAGATCTGGGTGTCCTAGTGGGCCACACCTTAAGTCTGAGCCAGCAATGTGCTGCTGCAGCTGCCAAAAAAGCCAATGTATCAACAATGGGACAGCGTCAAGCTCATGAGAAGTGATAGTATAATTCTATACTGCACTGGTGAGGCCACACTTGGAATACTACATCCAGTTCTGATCATCATCAATACAAAAAAGATGTTGTGACCTTAGAAAGAGTGCAGAAAAGAGCCACAAAAGTGATTAGTGGACTGGAAGCTCAACCATATGATGACTAGTTATGGGAACTAGGCGTGTCTAGTCCAAGGAAAAGAAGGTTTAGGAGTAACATGATAGTCTTATAATACTTGAAGGACTCACAGAGATGAGGGGGTCGATTTATTCTTCACAACACCTGAAGGCAGAACAAGAACCAGTGGGTGGAAACTCATTGGAGAGATCCAACATGGAACTAAGGAGAAACTTCCTAATAATGAGAACAATTAAACAGTGGAACAGAAGTTGCCTCCTGCAGTTGTGGGTCTTCCATCACTGGAGGTTTTCAAGAAAAGATGGGACAATTAAGATAAGGACTCTGGCCAGTCGGTAGGCAGGGGGTTGAACTAGAAGACATCCAAGGTCCCAACTCTATGGTTCTACCGCATGTAAATTGGTCATTTCTTATTTCTGAACTAACCAATCCCTTGCTTAATGTTTATTGACGTGAAAAGAATCAAGAAATGGTATCTGAACATGTTGTTAACGTATTCTACAGTGGAATTGGGTTTAGCCTGCTTTTTATGCCATGTAGAACTAGAAAGGAAATTGCAGGGAAGGAAATTTAAATTTTTCTGCATGGTCCAAGCGATTTGATAGTGGAAATGAAAGCCTCAGATTGTGAGGCTGCTTTTCTCTAAAACTTCATATAAAACCTGGACAGTCACTTCTCAGGGACGTTGTTCTTATGTTCTCCATTGAAATTCCAAAGTGCTGGAATGACAATTCTCGGTGCTACTGAGAGAAGTGTGTTTTTTAAATAACTATACATCAGACAGCCTTTATTGTGTTCATGGCTGGGCTTTTGAATAGTCAGCTCCCCATATCGTGTTTTCATATATTCTTCTCTTTAAAGAAGAACCCGTTTTGAAAGTTCAGTTTTATGAATGGGATTCTGTTGCACATTTCCAGCGGATTTACAGCCATGAAGTGCCCTCCTGCCCAATATGCTTGTACCCACCCACTGCTGCCAAGATCACTCACTGCGGGCACATCTTCTGCTGGGCCTGCATCCTGCACTATCTCTCCTTGAGTGAGAAGACCTGGAGCAAGTGCCCCATCTGCTACGGCTCTATTCACAAGAAGGACCTCAAAAGGTACAGAGATTCCTTGAAGGAGGCCTCCTTTTCCTCCTGGACAAAGTCAGTTGTCATTGACCGTTCTTCTTCTCCTTCTTCTTTTGCAGTGTTGTGGCTCTAGAAACCCGTCAGTATGCAATCGGTGATACAATTACAATGCAGCTCATGCAGCGGAAGAAAGGAGCCTTCATAGCACTGCCAAAGTCAGCGCTCACCCCTGTGGAGCAGCCTATTCACTTGGGGGGTAAGAGCGTCACTTGCCTCCAGAAGATGTGGGTGCTTCATCACTGGAGAGTTTTAAGAAAAGACCTGTCTGAAAAGGGTATAGGGTCTCCTGCTTGAGCAGGGATCTGGATTAGAAGACCTCCAAGGTCCCTCCCAGCTCTACTCTGATTGAATGGTATAGGCAAGACTGTCAAACTCGCAGCCCACTATCCAGATGTGTCATGCCCGATTTAAGGGGAAACAAGTTCTGCTAAGTCACATGACAACAACGGCATGATGCCATGAGTTTGACACCCCTAGTATAGGGTCTCCTGCTTGAGTAGGGGGTTGGATTGGAAGACCTCCAAGATCCCTTCCAGCTCTATTCTGATAAGGAGGCTAAAACTTACGAACAACAGTTACAGGAATTGGGTACATCTAGTCTAATGAGAAGAAGGACTAGAGGTAACATGATAGCAGTGTTCCAATATTTGAGGGGCTCCTACAAAGACGTGGGGGTCAAACTCTTTTCCAAAGCATCAAAATATGTAAGACAAGAAACAATGGATGGAAACTAATCAAGGAGAGAAACAACCTAGAACTATGGAGAAATTTCCTAATGTTCAACACTGGAGGCTTTCAGAAAGAGATTGGACAAGCATTTGTCCGAAATGGTATAGGATCTCCTGCTCAAGCAAGGGGTAGGACTGGAAGACTTCCAAGGTCCCTTCCAACTCTATTATTCTATGTTCTATGTTGAGGATTCAAGTGTCTTGTGAATTGAGATTGCTTTGAGTCCTGCAAATCCAAGCTGTGTGCAGAATGAAGCCCAATTGTTTTCAGAGTGACTGTATCTCATGTGAATCTTATTGAAAGGGACAGCTCTAATTCCATTAAGAGCTGATGCTCTGCAGTGGATCAGTCTGTACATCACTGAAAATCAGTCCCTGCTCTCTAAAGGCATCACACAAATTCTGATTGGAGAGCCTGAAGCAACTAGAAGTTATTTCTAATCATGCAGATTTTCTTCTTCATTATAAACCTTAATTATTTTGACATGGAAGACAAAGTTTTAATGAAACTCCTGGGGGGTTGATGTCCAACAGATCCAAATGAGGTGGGGTAAATTTTGTTGCAATGTATAACTCTTTCTTCATCCAGATAAGCCGCACAGCCAGTATTCGAAGCTGCTTCTGGCCTCAGAGGCTCAGGTTCTCCAGCAAGTAATCTTGGAGGAAAAGATGGCCCTTCTGCATCAGTACGAGGAGGAAAAACATACGCCGGAAGCATGTTTCATTGAAGCAGCCCTGCAGGAATTGAAGGTGGGAAACCCTTTAAACTTTGGAGATCTTGTGCAGAGAGGAATAGGAATCAGTGTGATGTGTTGGCTTGTAGAATGGCAGTCGGTGGCTTGGAACACTTCGTTGAACAGACCCCTGTTTTATTTTATTTTTTATTTTTTATTTTAGAATAGCCTGTATATTTCCAGTTTACATGCTGTGGTTTATTTTACAAGGATTGGAATGACCTGAGATAAACCCACCTTTGGTCTTTAGCTTGGTCAGGATATTTGCTGGGTTACTCCAATCTGCCCCATAATATGATGATTCTAAAAATAAAAATTAGGAACAACCCCATATGATTTTTATTTATTATAAAGAAGGAACACATAATGATGAATAAAAACATCATCACTGATAGTGTGCACAAGTAGTCCTCGACTTACAGCAGTTCATTTAGTGACTGCTCAAAGTTACAATGGAGTTGAAAAAAATGACTTATGACCATTTTTCACACACGACCATTCCTGCATCCCCATGGTTATGCAATCAAACTTTGGATGCTTGGCAACCGACTCATGACCCTTGCTGTGTCCTAAGGTCCTGTGATCCTCTTTTGCGACTTTCTGACAAGCAAAGTCAATGGGGAAGCCCGATTCACTTAACAAATTGTTAAGAAAGGTCGTAAAATGGGGCAAAGCTCACTTAGCAACTGTCTCACTTAGCAACATAAATTTTAGGCTCAATTGTGGTTGTAGGTTGAGGAGTGCTTGTATTATCAGCCACCCATCTAAGTTGCTGTGGACGAAGCATGCCAGAAGCCATTTGCAGACCTTTCCAAGAGACCCATGGGGGACTTTAATGACAGTTAACTTCTTGGGAAAGAACTGCCAGGAAATTCCTTACTTTCCTCTCTGGCAACTTTTGACTTCAGTGGGTGGAGGATCAGCAAGGTGAAATAGAAAAGTTAATCCAGAAAGTGGAAGGAGCAGCAACATTAAGAGAAAGGCCTGTGTAATGCTGGGCTTATTTGAGAGAGAAGGTAATAAATCTAAAACTTTAGGAATCCAGATTTGAGTTAACATATAAAGCAAAAAGCTAACTTGGATTCCTTCCTAAAAGAAGCTAATGAGTAAAATGACTGAAAACAAAAAGGAGTTCATGAAAAAGAATATATGAAAGGGACAATTCTCCCACAGCGCCCAGAAAACAATCGCTCAGGTAAGTCCAACAGTCTTTATGAGTCATTTCTGGAAGGAAAAAAGGAAGATAGCAGGAGCAACTGTTGTAGGTTATTTATTTATTTAGCATATAGTATGTCATACCGTTGTAGGTGCACAAAAATTACTGAAACTCAAAAAGCTGGAAGATCGCTAAGGAAGAGCAAACTAGTTTTGATATCAGGAAAGCTGAACCTAAGAATGAACCAAAAAGAGGCTATGCAGTTCATAGAATAACTGAAGAAGAACTGAAGGATGAAAACTGAGTTTGATAGAGTCACATTCAGGAAATACCAGTGTGCTCAAATGTCTAAAGTTAGATCAGTGCCTTAGGGAACAAAAGGTAGGTATTGATGATGTCTCCACATTTCAATTTACCATCTCTGAGAAGTCTTACAGAATGCAAGACTGGAGGAGGACAAAAAATGTCACTAAGCAAGTAGTTAATCACTGCTGAAAGAAATAAAAAAATGCAAGTTAGAAATCCTTGTAATAGTTCATATTTGTTTATTCAAACCACATGACATGATAGCGGTCCATAAAATAGGACGTCTTCTGTAAAATATAAAGATTTCAGCATGTTGGCAAGAATAAGTTATTAACACTTTACTGATAGTCCCAAAGGTGCTTTTTCAGGAGGCAACTGGACTTTCTTGTTTTTTCTTTGAAAAGCTTCTTCAGCTCCCACTGGATGTTGGGGAATGGAAGGATTTATACCTGGATGACTGAAAATCCACATAGACGTTTAACTATGCATTTTGGAATGAAGACCTTTCAAATGGTGTGGGAGAATGAATGGATTTCCAGATAAAATTGCAGATTATAGGAACCATTTGCGCTTCAGTTTGAGATGCAGACAACACAGACCCATCCCCGACAGCCTTCGCCTGTCTTCAACAAGGAAGGGACACAGGGCAGTAAATATCCTGCAACCAAGAAGGCGCCACACTCATTTGCACTACTGAGGTGACCCTGATGACACAGACAAACCTATAAGTGGCCTCAACAGCTTGCTAAAAGGATGTCCAGTTGTCTGCAAGGAGTATAAATCTTTCCATTCCCCACCATCCAGTCAGAGCTGAAGAAGCTTCTTGGATGAGAAGCAAAACGTCTTCAAAGAAAAACCAGAAAGTCCAGTTGCCTCTTGAAAAAAGCACCTTTGGGACAACCGTGACCTGGAGGACAGAGAATCTCCATAGACTTTTACTCTTCTGGTAATTTGCACTTTGCAAGACCACATTCCTAACTCAGTAGTAGAAAAATTAGATAGATTAGGTTTACATTATATGGTCCTAAAGTCACATAACTGGTTTTCCTTCTAGGATCGCGAAGGCCACTTGATGTCTGATGGTGATGTTCCTGGTGTCACTGCAGCTGTGGAAAAATTAGTCATGACAGAAGCTACTTCTGAGAAAGAAACTGTGGCAGAACCACAGGAGGAAAAGGTGAGTACTTGCGTGTTCTTCAATGCGTGGTCTTCAACCTGGAGGCTGAAGACCAAGAAGTGGGCTTCCTAGAATGAATTGGGGCCAGGCCAACTTTTTCTGGCCTTGCATGTGTGGGTAACAACTCTTGGCGCCGGTTCCACCCACTTATGGATGCTGCATTTTGAAAGATTGCTGAGAATCTGCATGGAAGTATTCATAGTGAAGAAATGCACATCTAGAGCATGTCCAGAAAAGAGCAACCGAGACATAATGAGCCTGGCCAATGGAGGGAAATTCTAGCAGCTGCAGTTGCGTCTTGAGTTTGTGATAGCCAAATGAGATGCTTTCCTGTAAATATCTCTTTTTCTGTTTTGTGGCCAGACATTGGAGAGTTCCTTGCTCATGAGGAGGTGGATTTTTTAAAAACATGGGTGGATGATCCTTTCTGCCTAAAGGTCTCCTGCTATTTTGTTCAGCCCATGAGCAGGAAGAGGCTGCCTGAGGAAGACTCCCCAGTATCATCTTCTCAGCTTCTTTGTGGGTGGCCTGAGTGCAGTGGTGGTGAGAGCAGTGTGAGAGTGCCAGGAAGTGAGGAACACCGCATTTTGTCCACTCAGAGCAAACTGAGGGGTCCCCAAACTTGGCAACTTTAAGACTTGTGGACTTCAACTCCCAGAATTCTCCAGCCAGCTATGCTGGCTGGAAGTTGAAGTCCACAAGTCTTAAAGTTGCCAAGTTTGAAGACCTCTGACCCAGAGAGTCCCCAAGAACATTTTGTTTCCCGAGGCTGTTCATTTTGCAAGCCGTTTCTACCTAGTTTTAAAATACAGACAAATTTGGCCGTTGTTCTGGAGTGCGATTCTCCTATGTTCTCTTCCCACCCATTGTTTCCCTTCCTTGCCTTTCTGCGGGCCTCTCTTGAGCCCCCAGAGGGAAAGAAAGAAGAAATTAAGTGGGAAAAGACGAGTGGGTGCTAACTGCTTTTTATTGCTACAGTGCATTCTAGAATATCTTTCGGCTTTCAATGATGAATTGCTGGGATCTCCTCCTGTGGATCCTGCAAATGGAGATCCCCCTGCTTTGGAAAGGGCAGAGGCGACAGCGGATAACGGCACGGAGAGAAACGTAGATCCGGCAAGTGAAGGAGGGGAAGCCAATCTGAGTGCATCTGCCTCAGGAAAGCCCAAGGCCGCTTTTGCCAGCAGGCACACACAGAGCTCTCCTTCCTATTACTTCTACCAAGGTCAGCAAAGGGAACTCTGGTCCCAATTATGGTCACAGGTCAAGAATTACCTCCTATTGATCTGCTTAAATGCTGCCTCACCCTAAGGGGCTGTTTCAAGCTCCTAACTTTGCATAACTGTCCTGCAACTTCTCTTCTGATACTGCAGCTGAAGATGGACAGTGTCTGTATTTGCACCCGGTGAACGTCCGTTGCCTTGTGCATGAATACGGGAGCCTCGAGAAGAGTCCAGAGAGGATCACGGCTACTGTGGTGGAGATATCCGGCCACTCCATGACGGAGGTAAGGCAGGGATGGCCCCTTGGATGAGCATTAAAGTTCTCGTTTGCTAGGAGATGTTTCAATTCAGTCCTTGCTCAAACTTTTTCTGGGAGTCTCCTAGGGCTGCCTGTTGTGTCTGCTGACAGTTGGAGGGGGGCGTTGGGGGAGGGGGAGAAGAGTTTGGGGTCATTTCTCTAAAACAATAACTCCCGCCTGCAGGACGTGCGTCAGCGTCATCGTTACCTCTGCCATTTGCCCCTCACCTGCGAATTCAGTATCTGTGAATTAGCTTTGAAGCCTCCGGTCATTTCGAAGGAAACACTGCTGATGTTTTCAGGTGAGATCGGAAAAATGGATCTCTGGGAGTTCTTCTTTCTGTTATAATAAAGGATTTCAAGAAAAAGTTAATCCTCTATTTAGCAGGTGGCAGTGCCTGACAAATCTTGCCGGAGCTCAGCATTGAGCCACACTTAGTTTTTAGTTGGAAGATCGCTAAGAATCCTGTAGCTGGAGGCTGTTCTCGGGCAGGAGAGAAAAGGCCCAGGTGCTTTCCTCTTGTTCCCCAAGAAAGCTTGATGGATGTGGCTGTGAAATCCTCAGGGACGGGGTCAGCAACTTTAGTCAACAGCTTTACTTTCAAGTTCCAACTTACGTTACCCACAAGAAAGACTACTTAAAACAGCTTAGACAAAGTATCCTCTCATTTTTAAATTAAACTAGTGAGGAAAAACAATTGTTCTGTTTAGAAAAATCTAGTATTTGAGTTGAAAAAAAAGAGGCAGTTAATGGAAGTGTTAAATTTGGAAATGAGACATTGGATCCATGGTCATGAATGACTTTGGAAGTCAGTGAAAGCTGAAGTACTGAATTGGGCTTCTGAGGGATGGGGAGAGGACCTGTCACCCAGTTCCCTGAAAGGCTGGCATAGCAGGGATTTGGTTGCCTGCAGTAGCCCATCTCACCAAGGCTCTCTTTCAACTTAGATGACATTGAGAAACGAAAGCGGCTCAGACAGAAGAAAGCACGCGATGAACGGCGTTGGGAACGCAGAATTGAGATGGAGGAAAACAAGAAGCAGGGCAAATGTGAGTGGCACTCCTGGGCACAGCTCACCCTGTGTGTCTTTTATCACCCAGTATGCAGGCATATAGCGAGTCAGTTTGGCGTAGTAATGAAGGCATCCGGCTACGTCATGTTCTAATCCTGCCTTGGGCACAAAGCCAAGAGTCTAGCACATTCTCTCCGCCCTAGGAAAGAGGCGATAGCAAGCCACTTCTGAAAAACTTTGCCAAGGAAACTGCAGGGACTTGTCCAGGCAGCCTCTGAGACCCAGACACAATTGAATGGAAGGGGGAAAGGCACAAGTCTAGGCCTAGTTTGGCAGAGATGGGAAGCAAAGCCCATGTTAAGGGATCGTTGACGCTGTACTTTGGCAAAGTTTGCCCACCAAATGCAGAAACTGAAGACACCTGTTTCAAGCAGTGAAGCCGCAGTGCTGTTGAAGATCCTGGGAAGCAAAGGAAGGTCCCTGGCTTCAGTTGACCAGTGTACCTGAATAGAAAACTGTTTAGCGTTTGTTATGGAAGTAGGACCTCTGCTTTTACGTCTAGATCCAGAGGTTCGGATTGCGTTAGAGAACCTGCAGCAGTTTCCAGCCTTCAGCGCTTGCTCAGGAGAACCTGATGGCCCTGAGAACCAAAGCCACCTGCTACCACCTGGTGTTGGAGGAAGTCCCACTTCTCAGTCAGGTAAGCAGCCAGAGCAACTGCAGCCATCCACAGCATCTTCTAAAGCAGCATTTCTTGACCTTGGCAACTTTAAGGATGAGCGGACTTCAACTTCCAGAATTCCCCAGCCAGGCAATGCTGGGAGTTGAAGTCCACGCAGCTTAAACTTTGCCCTGGCTCTGTAAAGGCTGATGTAGTTCTATTTCCTCCACCAGTTGGTGGCGACACTTAACATTTGCATAATAACTAACTCAGCCCAAGGAGACCCCAATGCATCTGCAGGCCTGCCAGGTGCTTTCAAAGGCAAAGCAGCAGAAATTTGCAAGCTGGAGCTCAAAGAGGAATGAAAATCAATTACAGCAGGGGTCTCCAACTTGGCAACTTTAAGCACGGTGGAGTTGAAATCTGCCAGGCTTAAAGTTGCCAAAGTTGGAGACCCCTGAATTACAGGATGCCCACATCTGAAAAACCACAGGATGGTTAATGTAGTAATAAAAGTTGGAATTTGGGAGGCACAGTATCAGAAGTCTGTAACTTATATTCCCTGCCTCTTTACTACTTTATTTAGTAGTAATGTTCTACTCAACATTTGCCCTTTTTTGTCTTCCAGAGTCCTTGTTGACTCCACTGTCATCTTCCAGCCTTGGCAGCCCCCCATTCCTGATTGGAAGTCTGGAGGAGGACTCTGCTTTCCCCTCATTTGCCCAGGTGCGTGTGGCTGCTTGCAAGACCTTCTCTTCTCATTTTATGGAGAGCAGAAGTTGAGTCCACACTGTTGAGTAAATCTGAATTGTAGAAATTGCAGTTCCCTTTCTCATTTATCTCAAGCAGCTTTATTGGTAATTGCTTGGGAATCAGTTGATCCAGTTTGATTCCCAAATCAGTAAAAATTAGCATGTGAGGTGAATACTTGGGTTTCTGAGTCCATCTTGCATCTTTTCAGATGCTGAGGGCTGGAAAAGCCAAACCAGACTTATGGAATAGTTCTCAGCCAAAGAAGAAAGGTAAGCAGGGCTATTCTGTTGGGCGAGGCCTTTCTGTGAGTCCTTGGTGTCTCTCTCTCTGAGGTTGTTGGCTGGTTTGCTTGCAAATGTTTCATCACTAACTAGGTGCAGGAGCTGCTTTTTATAGTCAGCAGTTTTCTAAAGTTGTTGTTAGTTGTGAAGTCGTGTCCGAACCATCGTGACCCCATGGACAACGTTCCTCTAGGCCTTCCTATCTTCTACCATCCTCCAGAATCCATTCAAGCTCACGCCAACTGCTTTGGTGACTCCATCCAGCCATCTCATTCTCTGTTGTCCCTTTTTTCTTTTGCCCTCAATCTTTCCCAGCATTAGGCTCTTCTCCAGTGAGTCCTTCCTACTCATTAGGTGGCCAAAGTAAAGTAGACTACAAAGTTTTCTAAAGTAGTCCTTTCTAAATAATTGTGCAGTGACAGTCTCTGTTGATAATCCTACCTTTCTATCAATAAGATGGAAAGTAAAATGAATCAAGGCAAGCCATAAAACACTACTGAAACATTCCAAAGAGTTGTAAATTTTATTAACCTCTGAGCAACCTGGAAGGCGAAAGACCTCCAATCTTTTCCTGAGAAATGGAGAACCACTGGAGAAGAGCTCTATAGTCATGAATTCCTCGTGAGGCCCGTTTAGCCTTTCCAGGAATCTCAAAGCAGCATTTTTCAGACGAGACCCCCACTGTGGCACCTCCGGCTCCAGGAGACAGCGATGCGGAGAGCGATAACTCAGACCGTGTGCCTGTGCCTAGTTTCCAGAACTCATTCAGCAAAGCTATTGAGGCGGCTTTCCTCAAACTGGACAAACCGTCCACGTCTGACCACCTCCTAGGTAAGTGAAAGAAGAGGACATTATTCCTCAATTCCATGCAGAATGCAGGGGCAGCTGGGCTCCCTGTTCCTCTAGTCATCCCAGGACATTTGTCCCATCGTGGTCATGCCTGTCTTAAGTTTCCCCAGTTTCCCCACAACTGAGCCCAGATTTTCTGTTACATGAGTTTTGCTCCATTTTACAACTTTCCTTCCCACAATGGTTAAGTGAATCACTGCAGGTGTTAAGTTAGGATTGTTAAATGACTGGTTTCCCCATTGACTTTGCTTGTTGCAAAAGGGGATCACGTGACCTCAGGACACTACGACCATCATAAATAAGAATCCGTTGCCAAATGCCTGGATTTTGATCACATGACCCTGGGGGGAAGGAAAGTT